GATGCCTGGAGGATGTCAGAACAAACACTTTCACCTGTCTCAGAGATGCCAGGTCTCCCTGCCAGGTCGTGCAGACATGTGCAGTGAGAGCCTGTGGCCCCATGGCAGCACACGGTCTAATACTGCAATTTAGCACAAGGAAACAGAGATGCCTTTGTCAGGAATAAAGGAAGTACAAAGACTAGAAACTGAAAAAGCGAACTGATAACTCAATGACAAAAAGGGAAAAAGAAGCAGGAGCTACTACACAACACAAGTATAAATCAGACTGTTGCTAGAGGAAGAGAACTGAAAGTTGCACATGCAGGACATCCATGTAGGAAGCAGCTTGGTTATTCAGTTGTCCTACAATATCTGGACTCCTGGCAGGACACAGCAAGACTTAACTGCAAAGATGAGTTATGAACCATAACCTGGAAAGTTCCAGATGTTTACAATTTTTGACTGCACAACAGCTCTGAGCTTGGAGGCACTTTCTCCTTTTTTTTTGGTTTGTGTTGGATTATTAGTTGCTGCTTTTCACTTGCCACAGAGCTGGGAGGAGTTTCTAACAAGAGAGACTTGTGCTGCTCTGCTTCACGAAAAACTCAGGTACAAGAGATACCAGGGAGAGCAAAGCAGGCAGCAGGTCTGGGGCAGCACCACAAAACCAGCACTGAGAAGCTCTGCTTGACCTGGACCGACTCCTGGTACCTCTGCACCACTCCCACCCTTCCTTAGTAACTAAAGAGGATGTGGAATTAACAACTCACACGATAAGCAACTTCAATTAGTCTGATTAACTTGCATGTGAGAGCATTGAAAGAAAAGGAGGAGGACTCTGGCTCACTTGTGGTGTTTCTGATAATGGTTCCAATGCCAGAGCAACGCCACAGGGCTGGAACAGAGCAAGTATGGCAACGTGCTGAGAGTGAGCAGGACAATTCCAGTCTTGGTATGCCAACAGTCCTTCAGCCCCAGGCAAAGGGCTGGAAATGTCTTTTGGGGTCAACTGGTAGAGGAGTGAGTAAGAATAAAAAAGAACATAATTTATATTCCTCAGCACAGTCCTGTCAACAAGCAGCCTTTGAGGTAATTAGCAGCATCTGCCTGCATTCATAGCTTAAACTGCTACATGGCAACTGGCTCATCACTGAGGAGAAACAGTTTCCAATCATGCCATCTTTTTCTCATTAGGTTGTTGAAAACTTGCTTGTGCATCACTTTGAGCTACCTGATACAAAACCTGCTCAGATCATTTGAAGAAATTCCCAGGTTTTTCCTTTCTCCTAATCAGACCTTGGCTAGGGAAACAGGCCCACAGAGATCCTGAGGAAAAAAAAAAAGGAGGAGGTTCTGCTGCAAGATTTTGCTGTTTTGTGACACTGGATGGTTTTAACACTATGGTATTTAATGTCCAAAAATTTGGTACAATTGGACAGAATTCTGTCAAACTCTCTGTGACTGAAGCTGCCTCCTGGCCGGGCTGTCCCTATGGCTGCAGCCATCCCAGAGCAGAGTCTGGCTGTAACAGGCTTTCGGGAAGGAAGAAAGCCATGTGCAAGGCTTTGCTCGTCCCATTTCAGGACCAAAGTTCCTCTTGCCTTTCCCTGACAACTCAATGGCTTGTAGCTGATGCACTGATGAAAAACAAAGCTCTGTGCTAAGAGGACGCAGCAGAGGATCACAGAATGGTTTGGGTTGGAAGGGACCTCAAAGCTCATCTTGTTCCACCCCCTGCCATGGGCAGGGACACCTCCCACCAGCCCAGGTTGCTCCAAGCCCCATCCAACCTGGCCATGGACACTTCCAGGGATGGGGCAGCCACAGCTTCTCTGGGAAACCTGTGCCAGGGCCTCACCACCCTCACAGCCAAGAATTTCCTCCTACTATCCAATCTGACCCTGCCCTCTGTCAGTGCGAAGCCATTCCCCCTTGTCCAGACACTCCGCCTCCCCCTCTCGATGGGATGCCTTTATGCTGTGGGTATGCCTAGCACTCCTTTCTACCCAGCTCCAGAAAACGCTAAATACAAAAAACAAGGCATGAAGTCACTGTCAGGGTGCTCAGGGCAGACAGCGAGAGAAGCACCGGTACGCAGGGGCAGTCACCAGAGCAGGCACCAGGGGCCGAGCCGGGCGAGCGGGTTCCCGAGCAGCCGGTCTGGTAAGAGCGGCGTAAACCCCTCCCGCACCTCCAGCACCTCCCTTGCCTCACCTTCTCCCCGCAGAAGCGGTTGGCAGCGGTCCCGTCCCCGCCTCATGCCCGGGCAGGGCGCGGGGCCCGCGGCCGAGGCCTCCACGGCCGCTCCCGGAGCCTCCTCGGGCCGCTGGGCCCGTCGCCATGGCAACGGCTACGGCGGCGCGCGGGGCCCAAACGGCGCCGGGCGCGATCGTTCCGCGGGGACACGGGAGGAAGGAGCGAGGCTCCGTCCCGCGTCAGTCCCGGTGTGGGGTCCTCACTGAGACCCACGCCCGGGGAAATCCCGGCTACGACACGCCCCACCCTCCCAGAAGGTGACATTTCATATGCCTAGCGATGCCCTAGGAGCCAACAGTGGAGACTGGTTGTGAGCCAAAGCCACCCTGCTCCTGGAAAATTCCTTTCCCTATTATGTCAAGTAGTCTTTATCGCATGGAAGCGTACTATTTTTGTTAATATATATATTCAGATTTACGCTGAGATGTAAATGAGATCGCAGAATTTTACTGGAGTGGTTTGTGTTTAGGTAAAGCAAATTAAAGGACATGGAAGTATGGATTGCTTCTAGGAAGCATAGAGTTGTCTAGGAAAGATAAAGGATCCCCTGGGCTACTGGGATAATGCAGCATTTGACATTGCTTTGAAATCCTCCCAACATCATCTGGTGTCAGTAATTCCACCAAGATGGCCTCCAGGGATGCCTGGATTATGGAATCACAGATTATCATGAGTTGGAAGGGATCCACAAAGATCATTGAGTCTGACTCCTGGCCCTGCACAGGACAACCCCAAGAATCACACCATGTGTTGTCCAAATGCTTCCCGAACTCTGTCAGGTTTGGTGCTGTGACCACTTCACTTAATCAATAAACAAGCAGCAAGAACCATGAAATTATTAAGGTTGGAAAAGCCCTCTAAGATTATCGAGTCCAATTGTTAACCCTGCACCACTATGTTCACCGCTAAACCAGATGCCCAAGTGACACATCCACACACCCTTTGAACACTTCCAAGAATTCCACTGCTGCCCTGGACAGCCTTTTCCAGTCCCTGACCACCCTTTCTGTGCAGAAATTTTCCCTGATATCCGATCCAAACCCCTCCTGGCACAACTTGAGGCTGTTTCCTCTCATCCTGTTACATGTTACCTGGGAGAAGAGGCTGATCCCCACCTGGCTACAGCCTCCTTTCAGGGAGTTGTAGAGAGTGATATGGCCACTCCTTTTCTCCAGGCTGAGCCCCGCCAGGTCCCTCAGTCACCCCTCATCAGACTTGTGCTCCAGACCCTTCCCCAGATCCATTGCACTTCTCTGGACACACTCCAGCTGCTCCACATCCTGCCTGCAGTGAATTTTGAGAAGTTTTACTGTCATTAGCAGTCAGTAACGTGGATGTAAGTGATTAATCAAGTCGTGTTGTCCCTGAAGGGCAGAAGAAACCAGCCCCAAACCCCGTTTGTGGTGGCCGGTTTGGCCGGGACACCTCGTGCGCAGGGATAAATATTTACCCCTGTAATTCCCCACTTTGTATCCCAGCCTCTCTCCGCAGTGGGCACCAGCCAGCTGCGGATTTTGGTGACGCAGCAGGGCCGGCCCTGCCAGCCCTGCCCGCAGCTCCACTGCCCTCGAGGAGGCTTTTCCCTGTCCTCCGGCGAGGCAGCCCCGCGGAGCCCCGGGAGCCGCTGCCCGGCGCACAAGGAGCTCTTTATGAGCCGCCCGCCGTCTGCGCACAGCGGCTGCTTTGTGCTGGCCGGACACTCACCTGAGAAGGCTTCTGTGTGCCGAGGGAAGGGTGTCCTGGAGGCGGCATGTCCTTCTCTTGCTGTCCCCAAAGGCCCTCGTCACCTTTTCAACCTCCGGCTGCCTGCGGCTCTCCCTGCGCAGGGGTCTGGCCGTGCCGGCGGTGGCAGGGGGTGCCCAAGGAGCCTTGGGGGCTGCACCTCTCTTGTTCTCTCAGCCCACCCTCCTCGAGTTGGGTGCAGGGGAACAGCTGGAGTGCTTGGCGAGCTGTGGAGCTCTGATCAGCCACGTGGCTGGCTCTCGTCAGAGCTGTTGCAGAGGGAAGCCTCCTGGACACAAGGAAGCACGGCCCCATCACCATCCCCTGCTCACCAGAGCATGTTCCAGGCGCTGCCAAAGGGGCTGAGGACAGCCTTGGTTGGGCAGGATGTGCAGGGCAGCTTGTAGGAAGGTGTCCTTGCCCATGGCAGCGGTGTTGGAATGAGATGATCCCTCCCAACTCAAACCATTCTGTGATTCTATGTTTAACCCATCTCCCAGTCCTGTGCTGGGGGGTTCCTTCAGCACAGCCCCCAGCAACAGTGGTGCTGGAAGGGACGTTGACACTGCATGACCCTGGGTGGGTTTGGCAGTTCTACTGGCACCCCAAGCTCTGCAAATCTGCCATGAGCACAGCCCCCAGCCCCCAGGAAGCTTGCCCCAGGAGCGTGGGGTACGGAGCAAGGAGGACACCCTTCCTACAGCCACTTTTCTTTTATTAGAGATTACAAGATACAAGAAGCTGGACCTGCATGCCAAGTGCTGTTGGCTCGCTCTGTCTTTCTCCTCTGTGTGCTCTGCAGGCAGAGAGGAGGGGGGCTGGCAGAGATAGACACTCAGGCTGGTCCCCCCATTGCCCGTAGGGTTTTTCCTGCAGGGACACCGTTTTTGCTGTGGTGCCTTTGCCCTGCCAGCCATGAGCAAGCATTATGGGAGAGAGCTGTCTCCAATGGGACAAGAACTGGGACCACTGAGCTGAACGTGCTCCATCGCTCCCCAGGGGAGACCCCGACTTGGCCCCACACCTGCCTCCAAAGGGGATCAAAACACATACGGGGACACAAAGACCGTGACCTTGAAGATGTGCTTGCCCAGGAGGACTTTGCGGGAGAACTCGCTCATCTCCAGCTCCACCTCCAGCGTGGCTGGCCCCGCCACGGGGCTGGTGAGCAGCAGCTCTCCCGTCTGCCGGTCGGAGCGCCGCACGGAGAAGACGCCCTGGCCCCGTCCGCCCGTGATGGCGAAGCGCAGGCTGTCGCCCACGAAGCGGGTGGTGGACATCTTGAAGAGGACACGGGGCACAGTGCGGTTGGCCTGGAGCGGCAGGTAGTGGAAGGAGATGGAGGTGGCAGCCAGGAGGCAGGCCCGGCTCTCCATGGGGCAGGGGTTCCTCTCGCACTGGCTGCCGGGAGAGAAGGGGTGCCACCACTCAGAGCTGTGGTTTGGCTCTCTCAGAAAGCTGCCCTCATCCTTGCAAACAAGCCCAGCCCATGCCACAGGCAGCATCTCCAGCCCCACTGTTGGTCCTGTGGCAGAGCAACCCAAGACAGTCACATCTGAGCGTGCCCAGCATTGGATCTCTACCTGGCCCCTGCTTCTGCCAGGCAAACACCATGCCTTGCAGGGACACAGCTCTGGGTGATGCTCTAAGGCTGGGACTGGGGGTAGCCTGTCCCAGCTGGAGGCCAGGGATGGAGGCAGACACGCCTCCTGAAGACGAACATGTCAAGATCAGGGATGCTCCTCTGCTTGGGTGTTTTTGCTCAACCACAAAGCGGTTTAATCTCAAGAGTGCGATGGCCACTGCTAGAAGGCAGCCGATGGCAACACATGGATGCACAGCAGAAGGGAAATAGTGTCTTTCCCCACAGTATGGGGCTCTGGGGGGAGGCAGGATTCTGGATAAAGGCACCATATATCGGGGTGCTCCTGCCTGCACCTCCAGCATCCCCAGATCATCCAGGAGCATGCCAAGCACACCTGGGCACCCCACGTGGCAATTTGCTACCAGTGCTGGCTGGCACTAGCCCTGCTGCCCCTGGGTGACACACTACAGCCCCCAGGGCACAGCAGGACCCATCAGTCTGGGAGAGGGCACAACACAGCCCGAGCCACCCGCAGTACGGTACTCACAAGGCAGAGGTCTTCACATAGCTGGTGTTGTGGCGTGGTGGGGGGCACTTGGGGCGCACGCAGCGGTGGCCCCCGAAGGTGTTGATGCAGAGGTCGCCCTGGGTGCAGTTGTGCTGCTTCCCGACGCACTCATTCACATCTGCGGTGGGGACACGGGGTGAGAGGGGATGCCCCCACTGCACCCTCTTCCCACGGGATGCTCCCTGCCCTGCCACTCTCACCCTCGCAGGCGTTGCGGTCGGCATGGAGCAGGTAGCCGGGGGGACAGAGGCAGCGGTAGGAGCCAGGGAGGTTGAGGCAGTCGTGGAGGCAAATCCGGGTCTGGGGGCTGGACTGGTAGAGCAGGCACTCATCCACGTCTGGGGGGGACAAAAGTGGGGAATGGCCAGGGGGCCCGTTGCCACCAAGCCTTGGTTTCCCCCCCTCTCCCTGCCATCTTCAGCCCTCTTTTACCTTGGCACACACCACCGGCTCTCAGCTGGAAGCCGGTGTCGCAGCTGCAGCGCCGGGAGCCTGAGCGGCCCTCGGCACAGCGGGGCTGGCGGCTGAAGGAGGCGTTGCTCAGTGTCACCCAGTCTGTGGGGGACAGCGGGTGTCACATGCTGGGTGGGGCATGAGGAGATGGGTGGAGGCTGAGGTCCCTGGGGGGGCTGCCAGGGAAGTGGGAGATGGTGCAGCACAGCCAGGTGCTGTCCCCATGAGCATCCCCATCCTCCACGGTCCAAACCCGGGCACCTACAGGAGTAGATGGGGCTCTGGCAGCTGGGGCCTGACCAGCCTGGGGGGCAGAGGCACGTGTAGCTCTGGTCACCATCCACGCAGGTCCCGCTGTTGGCACACGGGTTGCTGGAGCAGTCATCCATACCTAGGGAGAAGCAGCTCGTGAGCACCAGCTGGAGAAGCACATCCTCACTTCACCCCCGTGCCCGTGGCTGCAGCCTCTGGGCAGAGCGATGAAACCCTGTGGCTCAGGGTGAGAGAGGAGCCCACGGGCTGGGCTGAGCCCATGGCACCCCAACCCCACTCCACTTCACTTCTGCAGAAGGGCTGGGTGCCGCTCCACGTGCGGTTGTGCCGGCAGCTGCGCGTCTCCGAGCCCACCAGCTGGAAGCCACTGTCGCAGACGAAGTGAACGTCGTGTCCCACCCGCACACTCCGGCCCAGCATCCGCCCGTTCAGGGGCACCGCCAGCTGCGGACAGGTGTCTGTGGACAGACAGACACGGGTGAGGATGGACACCACCAGGTGGAGCTGGCCCCAACCCGGCGAGGAGCTGGGGGTGCCTTGCCCAGGCTGTCTGTGGGGGTCCAGGTGTCAGAGGCAGCCCTGTGGGGATGTCACCGGTGGTGGTGACTGGCCGGGGGTACCATTGCGTTTGGTGGGCTGTCTCTGGAGGTGGCTCTGGAGGATGGAAAGCTGGTTCCGGAGCCCACGTGTACCCTGAAGGTGAGCAGCCTCCTGCGCCGCCAGCAGCTTCTGCATCTGCCGCACCGCGCTGAGCGCCTGCTGCCGGCTCAGGCACTCCTGGGGGGACACGTGGACAGCCCTGTCACCTGCTGGGCTCCTCTGCCACCCTGCTGCAGCCCAGGGGGACCCTTCCAAGCAGGCAGCATCTTTGGAGTTGGTTTGAATATCTTGTCTTGGGCAGAGCCCCTTCCCATTCTAATTGGGGTCCGCCCCTGGCTCCATGTCTGCTCCAGCCTCAGCCCTCCCCACCCAGCCCTGCCCGGGCATTTGGATGCTGAGGAGCAGCTTGGATGCCCCAGGTGGGTTTAACATCGTCTCACTGCTGCAGTGGAAAAGTCCTATGATCACCCCCTTGGCCCTGGGCAGCCCCACGGGTGTCATGGCTGTGCTGTACCCACCATACCGGGCTGGTGACAGGGTGCTGGGGTGTGAGAGGTGGGTGCTGATTAGCCCACAATGGGGGGTCTGCTATGGGGCTGGAGGGAGGGAGGCATGAGGGTCCTTACCTGGGCGCTGCCAAGAGGCAGCTGCAGGATGCCCAGGGCCAGCCAGGCTGGCAGTGGGATGAGGAGCATCACGCCGGGGCTGGCTGCAGGGACGAGACGCCGACGGTCCGGTTCTGCTCACAGCCTCGCTCCTCACTCGCTGGGATTTATCCGCAGTGTGTGCCTGTGTGTTTGTTGGTTTTTCTCCTGGCCGAGGCTGAGCTGTAGGAAAGTTTCCCCTTGGCACTGGCGCCAGCCTCTCCCTTCCCTTCCCTTCCGTTCCTTTCCCTCTCTGCACATCAGAGGCTTTGGGGCCTTTCATGTCCCAGGGCCCGCAGATGCCGGGGCCAGGCGGTGGCTGTCACGGCACTTACGGCAGTACCAGGCTCACCCCACGGCCAGCCCCGGCTCTGGGGCTTCCCAGCACGCAGGGATGCAGGATGAGGCTAATCCCGCGCGTTCGCTAAGCCTGGGAAAGTCTGCTGTGAGAAAAGATGGCTTTGGGGTCTGTGCTGGGGTTCAGCTCTCTGGAGGGGCTGGGGCCGTGGGGAAGGGCAGCCCAGGAATGCTGTGGACTCACTGGACTCAGCACAGCTTTGCTGGGGTGAGCTCAGCCATGGCTGGAGTTTAGAGTGGGACCCCAGGGATCTGATGCAGCCTGGAGTTGGGATGCAGGTTGGTGTTACAGTCAGCATTAACATTAGGGTCAGGGTTAATGTTAGAGTCAGCATTAGGGCTAGGGATGAGGTTAGGATTAGAGTTGTGGTTAGGGTTGGGATTAGGTTTAAGATTAGGATTAACATTTGGGTTAGGTTGGGGCTAGGATTAGGGTCAGGGTTAACATTAGGGTTAGGTCTGGAGTTTAAAGCTCGGGTTAGCATTAAACTCATGATTAGGACTAAGGTCAGGTTTTTTCTTAGGGTTAGAGTTAGCATTAGGACCAGATCAAAGGGTTCAGGTCCATATTAGCAGGAAGGTTTGGAGGAGAGTTGGGGTTGGCATTAGCATTAGGCCAGGGTTCAAGGCCAGGGTTAGGCTCGAGGTGAGGGAACTGAAGCATTTAGAGCTGGGTTTATGCTGACACCCAGCTCAGACCTGACAGCTGACAGGCAGGATGCTCTTGGTCCCTCCTGCCTGTGGCAGCCCAGAGGAAAGGGCACGGCCACATGCGCCTGTCCCCTGGCCACCCCCAGCAGGGATGTCTGAAGCCCACACCTCTGCCCTGTGCCAGTGGAGCAGCTGCCATGGTTACTGGGAGCCCTGTGCTGGGGCAAAGCCTTCAGGGTGCTACTGAGCCCCCCGAGCAGCCTGGGCTCCGGCCCCACTGCCTGACCCCGAGTGCCTGCTGAGACATCCCTCTCCCTGAGCTCGGCATCTCTCCCGGCACCGGCCCCCCAGCCCTCACATCCTCCCACCCTGTAACCACACTGCCCAGCTCTCCGGAGCGGGTATTTGGCTTCCTGCCTGCAGCGGTGTGTGTTACCTCCCCGGCATGTTTAATTCATGGGGCAGGAGGAAGGCTGGCAGCAGGGGCCCCCTGACTGCCCCAGCCCCTCGGTATCCAGTCTCCCAGGGTCCCAAACTGGGTTCCGATTGCGACCTCGGCTCCTGCTGCCTCTACACCCCGACCCCGGCCCGGCGGCGGGGCTGGGGCAGAGCACGGGGGGCTGACCCCGCTGCGGGACATCCCGGCGGGGCTGCAGCCCAGGGCCCCGGGACTTGTCTGCCACATTCGCTCCAGCGAGCAACTGTTTTGACAGAGCTATTACTCACCCGTCAAGCTTTTGTTCGCGCTGCCCAGCGGTGCCTGTCTGGAGTCCTGAATAGGATCAAATCCTGCCACCAGACACACACACACACACACACACACACACACACACACACGCACACACACACACGCACGCGGGAGCGCGCAGGAGCGCGCGGCCGAGCTCGCCCCAAAGCCGGGGCTGCTGCGGGGTGGTTCGGCTCTCCACAGCCCTCCCCCCGGAGCCTCTGGTCCCCCCCATCCCAGAACCGTCATGGAGCTCTTGGTCCTGCTGCTTTGCAACCTCCTGGTGTGGAGGGTGGGTGAGACGAGGTCGGATGCTCCAGAAAACTTGTCCCCGCTCGCACCAGGAGGTAACTGGGAAGAGGGGCTGCTCCTCCGGCAGCAGGGCTGGGAGGCAGCTGGTTTAGGGGGTGAGTGCACCCTGAGCACCCGCTGGGACAGACCAGGCGGGCAGGGGACTGGGTGGGTGATGGGTATCCAGGGATGGCAACGAGGATCTCGATGGGTGGTGGAGGCTGGGGATGGGATGGGGCTGGGAGGGGGGCATAGATTTGGTGATGGGATGGAACTGGTGATGGGATGGAGCTGGGGGGGCTCTGGGGCTGATGATGGGATGGAACTGGTGATGGGATGGGGCTGGAGAACTCTGGGGCTAGTGATATAATGGACCTGGGGCCAGTCTGGGGCTGGTGATGTGATGGAACCTGGGGGGGCTCTGGTGCTGGTGATGGGACGGAGCTGGTGACAGAATGGGGCTGGGGGGTCCTGCAGCTGGTGATGGGGACTAGTGACGGGTCCAGCCCGGAAGGGTCTGGGTGCTGGCAGGACAGAGGTAGGGGGTTGGGGGTGGAGCGGGCGCATTCCTGGCAGTCTCAGCCCACCCGTGCGAGACAGGGGCTCAGCGGGCTGGCCGCCCCCCCGGCCCCTTGCCCCTTTTGTGCTCCCAGCCCAAAAGCGCTTTCTTCTCTCCCCTCAAGTCTCCATGGAGACCTGGGTGCCTTCCCCGTATCCCCGGCTGCGGTCGGGCCCTTCAGGGAGAGTTCCCACGGCTTCCCGAAGGGTCTGACCACAGTCAGGGATATGGGGAAGGCACTTGCACCCCCCGGCCCCCTTGGCCCCATCCCTATCCCCTGCTGTCCCCCCAGCTCTCAGCATGAAGGAGACCTTCCTGGTGCTCTCGCTGCACAACAAGCTGAGGAGCAAAGTGCAGCCCCCCGCTGCCAACATGCAGAAGCTGGTGAGCCCCCTCACAGGTCCCATGTCCCCCACCTTCGATGTCACATCCACCTACCACTCCCTGCCCAGGGAGGGGGGTAGCCCGTGGGTGCTATGCAGTAGTTTGTTAACAAGCTAACGAAGCAGAAGACCTGGTGTGGGGCCCCAAGGGAAGGATGTACCACCAGCACTGACAGATCGAGGGCACGCCAAAGACAGGGCTGGTCCTTTGAGGTCTTTTTTGGGGTCTGCCATGTCCTTCTGATGTCCCCTGATCACCCCACACCTGCACATACCAAGGGCAGGGCTGGTCCTTTGGGGTCCTCTGCGGGGTCCCTCATGTCCTGTGATGATCCTGGATATTCCCCAACCACCCCATACCTATGCAGACCAAGGACAGGGCTGGTCCCCAGGGGTCTTCCATGGGGTCCCCCATTCCCCATGATGGCCCTTGGTGTACCCCCAACCACTCCACACCTGAGCACACCAAGGGCAGGACTGGTCCCTAGGGGTCCCTTGCAGCATCCCCCATGACATCCCCCAGTCATCCCCTGGACTGAGCCCCTTGTCAGCCCCCAAATTCCCCCTGAGTGGCTCACACCCATCCCTGCAGGAGTGGAGCGAGGAGCTGGGGCAGCTGGCAGGGGCACGGGCAGCCAGCTGCCTGGAGGGCCCCACTCCCCCACTAGCCCCACAGCTGGGCTGGAACGAGGCCCTGCTGCCGGTGGGCACGGGGGGCTTCGTATCCGTGCTGGAGCATTGGTTCGCCGAGGGACGTGGCTACAACTACGGGACGGGGCACTGCGCCAGCAATGCCACCTGCCACCATTACACCCAGGTGGGCACGGGGCAGGGGTGGCACTGGGGGGCCGTGGGGGTCCGGGGCACGGGGTGACACGTGTCCTCCTTCAGCTGGTGTGGGCCACGGCGGGGCGGCTGGGCTGCGGCCGGCACCGCTGCCCCGGCCCCCACGGCCCCAGCGAGGCCTTCACCTGCGCCTACAACCCGGGGTAAGGGCTGGGGGAGGGAGGGACAGGGGAGGGGATGGGGGGGAGGACACGCCGGGAGGGGCAGGGCCATGTGGGATGGAGGTGGGGCTGGGGTAAGTGGGTGTGGCTTATGGGGGTGGGCGGGGTCTCTGCTGGGTGTGTCCCGGTGGATTGACCTATGGGGATGCACGGTGAGGGGTGGGGGTGGAGCCATACCATGCTGGTAGGCGGGGCTGGGTGGTGGGAGTGGGCGTGGGTGAATGATGTGGGCGGGGCCACGCATTGAAATGGGTGGGGTGGGAAATGTGGGCGGTGCTATGTTTGGGAGTGGGCGGGGACTTGGTGCCATGGGAGGGGCTATGTGTTAAATGGGTGGGGCTGAGTGTGGTGGGTGGGGCTATGTGCAGAAGTGGGCAGGGCTGTGAAGTCTAGGCAGTGTTGTGCACTGGAAGAGGGCGAGGCTCTGCCCAGAAAAGGGTGTGGCTTGCCCAGGTGGGCGAGGCCCTGCCCAGAAAGGGGTGTGGCTTGCCCGGGTGGGCGGGGCATCCTCCTCCAGCTGCCTGCGGGGCCAGGGGCAACTGGGAGGTGGCCGGGATGCCCGTCCTGCCCTACAAGCAGGGCCCCTGGTGCTCTCTCTGCACCGCCGGCCTCTCTGGCTGCTTCAAGTCCTGGGATCACGGCGGCGGGCTCTGTGGTGAGTCCCTGCGGTCCCTCCGGCCCCTGTGTGGCCCCGGCAGTGCCACTGCTGGCCCTGACGCCCCCTCCTGCTGTGCCCAGAGGTGCCCAGGAACCCCTGTCGCATGAGCTGCAGGAACAGCGGGCGCCTCGACATGAGCAGCTGCCAGTGTGACTGTCCCCCCGGCTACACAGGAAGGTACTGCCAAGGTGAGAGGGCACCACACAGCCCTGCCTCTCCTCCCCTCTCGAGGCACGTGCATGGCTGCTCTGGGTGCAGGCCATGCGTGTGCAGGGTGGGTGCAGAGGGTGCAGGTACAGAGCTGATGCAGGGCATGCTTGGGCATGGCCAGTGCAGCGCTCACAGCCTGCTCGGTACCCGGGTGCCCACAGTGGTGCAGCACCAGGGGCACCAGCACAGCTCAGTGCATGTGTGGGTATGGCTGGTGCAGCGTGGGCAGCATGGACAGTGCCTGGGGTGCAGCGTGGGGCGGGCAGGGGCCACCGAGCCCCCCCCAGCTAAAGCAGCACCGTGCCCACAGTGAGGTGCAGCGGGCAGTGCCTCCACGGAAGGTTCAGGAAGGAGGAGTGCTCCTGCCTCTGCGACGCGGGCTACGGCGGAGCTGAGTGCGGCAGTGAGTCTGTGCCCACCTGTGCTGCTGCAGGGTGGCAGTGGGAACCCATGGGCAAGGACCCCCGGAGTGGGGTGGAGAGTCCTCTGTGGGCCCAGCTTGGCCAGCACAGGGACCCACCCGCTCCTGCCTGTGCCCCCAGCGAAGATCCAGTTCCCTTTCCACGCTTGCGACGTGCGGATAGACAGCGACTGCTTCATGGTGTCCCCCGAGGCCGACACCTACTATGGAGCCAAAATTAAGTGCCAGGTGAGCTCCTGGGATGCTCCGGGCATCCTTGTGCAGCTGAAAAGTGCCACCCATGCTCACAGCCCTCCTGGGCATCTCTCCTCTGCCTGGCGCAGGGCTGGGCCACACGTTTGGGGCAGACTCACTCCCTTCCCTGCAGGAGAAAGGGGCGATGCTGGCCCAGATCAGAACCCAGAAGGTCCAGGACATCCTGGCTTTCTACCTCAGCCGCTTGGAGATGGGTAACAGGGTGACAGACACTGATTTTGAGACTGGGAACTTCTGGATCGGTGAGTGACAGCAGTGGGCAGGGTGCCCGGGGTGGCAGCAGACATGCCAACCCACCTCCCACTCCCCCAGGTCTCACCTACAAGACATCCAAGGCTTCCTTCCGCTGGGACGTGGGCGAGCCGTCCTCTTTCACCAGCTTTGCTTTTGGGCAGCCGGACAACCAGGGGTAAGTGGATCTAGAGGACGCTGAGCCCTGCGTGGTGTCACCGCTGTGCCACTGCACTGCCTGGCTTCACCACCCTCCCGCCGGGACACAGGTTTGGGAACTGTGTGGAGATGCAGGCGTCGGCCGCCTTCAACTGGAACGACCAGCGCTGCAAGACCCGAAACCGGTACATCTGCCAGTTCGGTGAGTGAGGGGCTGGGAGCCCTCCCGTGTGTCCCCAGGGCTGCCAAGCCCTGGGGGTGCCAGTCTCCAGCTCTGCTGGGTCTGTCCCTTGTTGCCAGCCCTGCCCAGACCTCTGGGTGCTTCCTGGCATGGGGGGCACTGACTGTCCGCCTTCCATCACAGCCCAGGAACACATCGCCCTGTGGCAGCGGGACCCCTGAGCCAGCAGCCCTGGGAACTGGCCAGCGCTGGCTGCTGTGCCAAGCCTGTGGCTCAGGAAGACCCTGATGCTGTGCCAAGCCCGGACCATGGCTCAGAAGGATCCCCCCGTGGCTCACCTGCACAGGGGATGGGGGATTGAGGGGCCCCATGGCACTGGGACCTGGTGAGAAGGGGTGTGCTTTATGTCAGCATCCCCAAAACAGCGTCTTCTTCTGCCCCTCACCTTCCTCTCTCACCATCACACTGTGACACCTCCTGGGCAGGAGATGCCCCTGCAACAGCTGGTACAGCAGCATCCTTCTCTGAAATTGGCAGCTGGGCCGTGTCTGGACTGTGGTCTTGAAGTGACAAGGGGCCAAGGGGGGCTCCTGGGAGGTGCAGATCTCGGCACAGCTGAGGGTGAGGACCAGGCTCAACTCTGAGCCATAGTCCCGACCTGTGTGGGAACCTCCCAGCCTGCTGGGTTCCTCATGATCACCTGACTCTTTGTCATCACCCAGTTCCTCACCACCACCATCTGCCCAGCAGTTAATAAAGACCCTCTCCCCCTTGGGAAGAGCAGTTTGTCTCCCTTTGCTCTCCCAGCCCATCAGACTCTCCCTAACCACATCCCACATCCTGCCTGCACTAGGTGGTACCTCCATCTCCATCCCTGGAGCGAGTTCTGGGGTTGGAGGAGCCAGGACCAGTCCAGCCTCTGGCTGAACTCTTGTCTCCAGCACCTGGAGGGGTTTTGGAAGGGTGGCATTAGCCAAGAGGTGCTTCTTCCAGCCCCAGGACAGCCCCAAGTCAGGGCTCTCCACGTGCTGAGTGAAAACCTGTGACTCCAGTGCTGGTGGGTGCCAGTGGGTGCTTTTGAAGGGGACATGCCTCTGCCCTCCTCCTGTCCGAACAGCTCTCTCCAACGATGGGCTGGGCTGGGAATTAAAACGTCCCCAGCCAGGGCGCTGCGTGCCAGTTGGTTGTGTCCCCAGCTCCGTGGCGGGAAGGCGCGATCCACATCGCTGCCAGCAAGGCTGGGCTCGGGGCTCCGGGCGAGCTGGGCAAACCCGGACAGCCACCGAGCCGGCGACCGGGAGGGCAGGATCCGGCAGGTGCGAGGGGCGGGAGGTGGAAGGAGCCCGGGGAGGATGAGGGTGAGGATGGAGATCCCGGGGGCAGCGTGAGCGCGGTGCCCGCAGCGGTGCGGGCAGGGACAGGCAGTGGGGCTGCCACGGACCACCGTGCGGGGCGTGGTGTCCCCCCGCGCCGCGGTGGTGCGGCCCGGCCCCCCCGCCCGGCGGTGGTAGCGCCCGGTGGCAGCGCTCGGTCCGGTGCGGGGCCGGTGCGGGGCCGGTGCGGGGCCATGACGCTCTTCGGCAGCGGGGACGCGGGCTGGAGATGTGAGTACCGGCCGGATCGGGCCATCATCCTCCCCCCGGGTATCCCTCCCGCGGGATCGGCCCTCATCCCGCACCCTTCCCCCGGGAGATGCTCCGGCACCGGGATGCTCGCCCGGCACTGGCAGCCCTGCCCGAGGCGGGGGTGTCCCCCTGCAGCCTTCTAGTGCCCCTAACGCCACCGCCCCGGGTGGGGCCGCCTCCCAGGTGCCCTCCACAGCGGTACCAGTCCCTCCCCAGGGCTGGGATGGCCTCCCGATACCGGGATGCCTGGTTCTCCCCATGCCATGACCCCCGGGAAAGGATGAACTCCCAGTACTGGGATGCCCCCATGCCGTTACCCCTCGCTACCGTTACCTCCAGGACAGGAATATATCATCACAGTACTGGGATGCCCCCGTGCAATTCCCTCCTATCTCAGGGATGTCCTTTTAGTACTGGGATTACCTCTAGGTCAGGGATGTCCTCCCGGTGCTGGAATGCTCCCCCATACATTATTCCCCCATACCATTACTCCCCAAGGACAGGGATGCTCTCTCAGAACCCTTCCATTACACGGAGGGGAGCCCAGACACAGGCCAATGACCCTGGGTGATGGAGCCCTGCTGGCTCTGTCCCCTGCCCCAGCAGGACAGTCCCCTCAGTACAGGTGGCCTGTGACAGGGTCCCTGGCTGGGGTGCTGAGGTCTCTGTCCTGCTGGCAGGGAGTGGAGTGAGTGCCTCTGCTGGGCGGGTGTGATGGGCTGGAGAGAGGGATGTCAACAGCGGGCTCTGGCCCTGAGCAGTCCCTGGGAATCTGGCTGCACCCATGAAAAATTGGTGCCAGCATTACCTGGCATGCACAGAGCACTTTCCCCAGCTCACCCTGAGATCAGAGCCAGCCCACAGACTTCAACACACAAGGTGGCAGCCTGGAAAGCAAAGTGCCAGTTTCCTTCCACTTGGATCTTTCTCAGAAACCCTCTTCCCTGTAGGGATGGAGGAAACTTCCTCTGGCAGATGCTGGGCTGGAGGGACCTATGGCCAGTGTCCACGCTTTTGGGGAGGTCTAAACCTCTCTGCTGGGACAGTGTGTTCCCAGAGCTCTCAGGAAGCTTCAGCTTGGTGTGCCCTGGTGCAATGGCATCCACAATGTCACCTGTGGGACAGCTGGTCACACTTACTGTGTCTGAGGGGAAGTACACAAGAGGGACCCCTCAACATCTCACCCACCACCTCCTACCCCAGAGGCCAGAGAGGGTTTGGAGTCCCCCAAAATCACAAAATTAAATCTATGGAGATTTAAACCACAGCATTGGTGCCTCTCAAATGTATACACAGAAAGGAGACTCAAGCTGGCTTTTATGTGGATGTTGGCTGTGAAATCCTCACAAAGGGGTGAAGGGCACTGCTGGGGAGCTGTGATGAGACATCGCTGAGCTGCATGTCCGGAGGCATCTCCACCCCACACCTCAGCATCGCATGTGTCTCAGCAGCCTTTGAGAGGGCAGAGCAGCAGGATGTGGGGCTTCCTCCATCCCTGGCATGGTGTCCCGCTGTCCCAGACCTCCCCAAAATACAGCCCATCCACCCAGCAGGAATGATAGCAGAGGTGGATTCACCGCTGCGGTGGGAAACGTCTCTGAGGAATAATTACCCTCATCATCAGAGGTGCTTTCTGCCACCCTAATTGGAGCTTGCCCAGCTTTGGCTCCTTGGGACAGGGCACCCATGGGAAGGGATAACTTGACCCGCTCCATGTCCTGGCACAACCTTGGGCTGCTCCTGTCCTTCACAAAAGCTTAAATCCAGACAGCTGCCAGCCTCCTGCTTGTCCTGCAGATTTTCTGAGGTGGGACATCTCCAGCCGGGACAGGAGTGTGGCTGGGACCAAAGGAAGCTGGTGCTAGAGACGTGTCTATGTGGGTTCATTCTCCTCCTCTCTCTCCCCACAGATCTGGACATGGCCAGGGAGCCCAAGCCGAGCCGGGCCAGGCTGGGCCAGAAGCGGCAGCACAGCAGCAGCCTGTACCAGTGAGTGCCTGTGTGTGGGGTGGGGGCTGCACGGGGGGCTGGGCACTGTCCCACACCCGGCTGTTCTTCCTCCCCTGCTCTCCATCACTCACACCTCTGACTGTTCCAGCTGGGAGGTGTAAGTCTGTGGGATGTCCCTGCCCCATCCCGACAGGGCTCTTGGCCACACAGGTGCTGGCTGGAGTCCTCGCTGGGCCCCTCCTGGTGTGTGTCACCAGTGGGGTGTGGGGACCTGTCCTCCCCACCCAAAGGCAGTCAGAGAAGCCCTGTGGTCTCCACGCCTGTTACAGATGTTGTCCTCCTTCAGTAATGGCTTCAAACTGACAGAGGGCAGGTTTAGGTTGGACATAAGAAAGAAATTCTTCCTGCTGGTGAGGCCCTGGCACAGGCTGCCCAGAGAAGCTGTGGCTGCCCCATCCCTGGAAGTGCATAAGACCAGGTTGGATGGGGCTTCCCGGTCTAGTGGAAGGTGTCCCTGCCCATTGCAGAGGGGTTTGGAGTGAGATGAGCTTTAAGGACCCTTCCAACCCAAACCATTCCAGGATTCTACAATTCTGTGTCTATATCCATTGCAATTGTGGCTTTTAAATGCTGTTCCTCAGGGACAGACACCCCTGCAGGGACACACGGGGGTGGTGATGGCCCTGAGGATGGTGGTAGGAGATGGTGATGGTGATGGCACTGATGGTGGCAGAAGAGCAGGTCCCCATCCCTGCACACTTTTGTCTCCCCATCTCGGTGGACGTGTGGTGAGGAGGGGATTGGAGCCGGGCTCCTCTGTCTCATAAGAGCTTTTTTGCAAACGCCCTGATTGAACTAATTGCTCTGCCTGTTGCCATGGAGCTGAAGGGAGGCAGCACTGGAGGGCCGGGACTGCTTGGCCCCCTTGGGCGCTGGAGCGTGGCAGCCACTGCCTTTGCTCTTCCCAGGGGATTCTCTGAGCAAAGAGCTGAGCCAGGAAACCCCTTGCTGTGTCCCTAGCTGGGTGCTAGACCCCAAGACCGGGTATCCTGCAGTGCTACCAGTTCTCCCACGGCACAGGGTGTCCTGTGGCATCCCCAAACCTTTCAGTGTGGGCTCCATGCAGTAGCAGCAGCCACTGGAGCAGGCACCTTCCCTGTGCCCCGTGTGTGGGTTGGGACACCTCTCTGTCTGCCCATTCCCTGTTTTCCCAGGACAGGTTGTGACCTTCCCCCCCGGGTGACAGGCAGGAGTTGGGGATGAAAAGGACACACCATCCCTGTCACAGCAACAGAAACTTGAAAGGCAGCAAGTCTGGACCAAAAGCTCCCGAAATAGACCCCAAGGATTCAACCCCACATGCAAAGCACAGGAGCAGGCAGGTCACCAGGGCTGCCAGCTTGCCTTTACCAGGAGGGCTGATGCTTGTGGGCTCTGCCTTGTGCAGAGGATTCCTGAAGAAGGTAGGGTGGAAGCAGGACAGGAGGTGCCTCTGCCCCATGACAGGCTCCAAGCTGCCCTCTGGGCTGGGTGAGCCTGGCCCAGGCTTGGTGCCCCAGGCAGGGCAGCCCAGGTTGCCTGTGAGCCCCTCAGCAGACCTCCCTGAGCCCCAGCATTGATCCCACAGTGACAAGCTCATCTGCAGCCAGATCTGGAGCCCTGGGGGACTTTGAACTGGTCCCCCCATTCCTGACAGCAGGAAGGCTCCCTGCTCCCAGTGATGCCTGGAGCGTGGCTTTGTCTCTACTTGGGTTAGGTTTAATTCTGTGCTCCCTGACTCCGCAAGAACTGAAGTAGCAAAATGAGCTTCAGCATCTTTCCTCCTCCTTCTCCTCTTCCTCCTCCTCCTCCCGCCACTCCCCACTCCTGGTCCATGGCATATGATTTATTATGGACATGTCACTGCCCGCACTGGAGGGGATCCGCTGACAGATCGGTTCTTAGTTTGGAGCCGAGTGAGCTGACAGCACACCTGGAGCCAGGGACTGTGGAGTTTAACACCAGGGCACTCTAAATGCAGCTTCCTGAGGACAGACCCTGCTGATGCTGCCCTGGAGGCTCTCACCATCCCTCCAACACCCTTGTTTGCCTTGAGAAAGATCCCTGCCAGGGCACAGCCACCTCCCAGGGCATGCTGCAGCCCAGGCAGCTTGTGTGGGATCCTCCGGAATGCCTCCTGTTATGGGAGGTTGGAGGCTGGGTGGGTGTCTCTGCCCTCCTGTGCCCAGCAGTGACTGCTCCATGGTGATCCACAGAGCAGGTGACATGTTCTCCTCTCTCCCCCTCCTGCAGCAGTAACTGTGACCTGGACTACGACCTCTACAGGGATGACTTCCCGTACCGGTGAGCGCAGCATCCCAGGAGCGGGATGAGCATGTGTGGGTTTGGTGTGTGATCGTGGAAAAGCAGGGTTTCCCTGGGCATATGTCCCCCTGCCTCCAAGAGAGGCTCAGTGGTGTTTCCCCACTTTGAGGAGCCGCAGCTTCCACAGGCTGGGGGCCTGGGGAGGGGGCACAAGGGGCAGGGGCACCATGTGGGCAGGGCAGTGCCCACACTGTGGGTCCTTTCACCACACAGGGACCCAAAGAGATGCTCTCTTGGCTGGAAAGGGGTACTGCTGCCCCTCTAAGGTTGTGCTCGTGCCGCTGTGCTCTTGTGCCCTTGCAGGGTCTATGAGTACCAGAAGATCCCCCCCCTCATTAACCGCATCCCGGTCAAGACCAGACGGACTCACCTGGGAGCAGGAGGCAAGAGCAGCCTGAGTCCCCAGCCCGGGACAAGGAGCAGCACCAGCTCCACGGCAGGACGGACAAAGTGTAAGTGTGACAGGGCTGGGAGAAAGAAGAGGCTCAGCCCTCACGTCTCAGTGTGTGCTGACCCTGCTGCTGTGAGTCCCCAGCTCCAGCAGATGCAGCCTGGGCTGCACTGGGCTGGTGACTGTCCCCTAGGCCCATTCCTGTTCCCCAAGGATATCTGGTGGGGAGTATATTTCATAGAGGAAGATGTTTTGTGAAGGAGAATGTTCCAGAAGGGGGAATGCTCCAGAGAGTGGGATGCTTCAGAGGTGGCTGCCCAGGATGGCATGTCCTCCTTGCTCTGGGTGGGCTCCTCACAACTCTTCTCCCTGCAGTGCGAGCCGAAGAGCTGCACTCCATCAAGGGGGAGCTGAGCCAGATCAAGGCACAGGTGGACAGTCTGCTGGAGAGCCTGGACCGCATGGACCAGAGGAGAGAGCGTCTCACAGGTGAGGGGACGGCCCAGACCCTCCAATACTGGGGTGTCTGTGCTGGGCAACCTGAGGGCACATGTGAGCCTGGACTCTGAGCTGGCTGTAAGGGTCCCTCCCTGTGTGCCCAGGACATCCAGAGCTGGTTGGCAGGTTCCTTACCTCCTTCTTCTTCCCTGGGCTGCCAAGTAAAAACCCAGCCCTTTGGCACAAGGGAACACAGCGAGAACAGGGCTGATGTTTGCACAGGTACCCCAAATTTCTGCTGCCTCTGGCTTTGCAGGGTCCAAGGAGAGTGAGAAGAAGAGGGCAGAGCCAGGGACAGAGTCACCCTCCCCAGCAGGAGAGGGGTCCCGGGAGTCGCGGGGGAAGGAGGGGACGGGAGCTGATGGGCACAGTGACCTGCGCAACATCGACAGCGCCGAGGAGAGCACAGACACGGAGGAGACGGTAAGAGGAGGGCCAGATCCTCTGCTGGGCTCTCTGCTTCCCTAAAATCCACACCTGCTTGCTGGTGAGGGATGCCTGGAGTAGATGAGGTGCTCCACCAGGGTTCCCCAAGCCATTCCAGCTGGGTGCCAGGGCTAAAACCGCCAGTGCCCCTGGGACAGGCCCGAGCACCCCGCAGCAAACCCCTGGGTGTGAATCAAGGCTGCACTAAGGCTGCAAAAAACCCCTCGGAGCAGAAATACCTTTTATCAAAGTTGCTGCTCCCTCACCCACATCCCCCAGCTGGATGTGGGATCCCAAGGATCCCTGTGCCAGGCAGGGCACTGGGTTTGATCCTGCTGCCAGCACGGAGGACAGCCATGCCGTGTGTTTCTCCTCACAGGTGAAAACCCACATGTCGGATCCCGAGGGGAGCCAGTAGCCGGACTGGGATGCTGTGGCCTTCCCGTGTGGCCAGTCCTTCCCAGCTTGTGTTCATTATTTCTTTTGAGGCTTCCAGCCAGGCACAACGCGAGGTGCCTGCTCCTGGCACGGCCATCCCCGGCCACCGGCAGCCCCGTGTCCCACCCCGGCAGCTGCCGGCCGGCTGGGGCGAGAGAAGTTTTTGTGTTCCAATGTGCTCGTTTTCTTTTTCCTCCTGTTTTCAGACCTAGGGATAAGCAGAGGTGGCCGGGGGAGGGAGGGGAGGAGCAGAAACAAAAGAAAAAGGACCATGTCCCAAAGGAGCAACCCAAATCCCATCTGCCTTGCTGGCAGCACCTCCTCACCCACAGGGTGCTGTGGGGCACAGAGAGAGCAGCCCAGGGCTCCCACCCCCATGGCACAGGTCACATCTCAACCGTCAGACCCTGCTGGGAATTGGTGCAGCAGGCACAGGTACAGCCCGTGGCAGCTTTCTGACCCACCATAGGAAGGAGGAACCACCCTAACCCATCTCCAGGAGGTTTTCGCGGGATTTTGGGATGGTGCCAAGCCTAGCTCTGATGCGAGCTGTGTGACCAGCAGTGGGGCAATGCCAGCCCAATCGCTCCCATTCACCCCTACTCCCAAATGTATTTTCCTTACTGGTTTTCCACGGGCTGTTCTTGTCCAGGCATCGTGTTTGCAGTCAGTAGGGCTCCTGTGAGGAGGGCCCCTCACCTGCACCCGAGGAGTCCTGGTCCCCCCGTGCTCCCCAGCATCACATTTCGGTTCCGTGTCCCTCATTTCTTGGTTGTCCTTCTCTCACTGGTAGGAACTCGTTCTGTATTTCTAATTTGCTCTGGTAAAAAGAGTGTATTGTGCTGGAAAGAAAAATAATTTGTATTTATTTTCTCTGGTTATTTAACTCTGGTGCAGTTTGTAACTGTCTGAAGTGCTCATTTAATTTTTGTACCTAATTCTGTGTGCTGCCGGACACAGTCCCTGGCTTTCTTGGATGCTGCCTTTCCTGCAGCTCTGCTCTGTTTCCCAGTGGAAAATACCCAGAATATTCCCTACCAGCCCACCACGGTGCAGCTGGGCAGACAGGACTGGATGCTCTGCTCCATCCCCAGGAACAACCAGATCCCAAGGCAGCACCCAGGTCTACCTGCACCCCTCAAGGAAGGACAGAGGGAATAGAGGGGGGGTGACCCCAATCATGGAAGGGAGGGACTAGCCCTTAGCTAGCAGAGGCCCCAGCAGAGCCGTGCAGGCAGAAGACTCACCAGAAAATAAATGATTTATTACTATGAAAAAAAGCCAACAAAACACAACTCTGCTGCCCTGAAGCACTGCCTGGGCAGGAGGCCCAAGGGATGTGCAGTCCATGCCACGGTGTGGTTCCTGCCCAGAGGTGACTGAACCCTGCCTGCACAGATGGTTGTTGTGGGGAGCTCGGTGTGAGGGTCTCAGCCTGGTGCAGGGGCCACCCCATGGTGAGACGTGGGGTCCCGCAGTGCCAGCAGCTGCTTGAAGGGAGGTCTCAGGCAGGCTCTGGCTGCTGAGACAGTATGGAGGCTGTTTCTGGGGGGCTCCAGCAGCACGCCAGGCTGTTTGGGCCCTGTGGTGCCAGTTAGGAATGTTCTGCCGCACAGCAACTCCTCAGATACGCTTTTGGAGGCTCTCCAGTGGTGTGGGGGGTGTAGACTCCAGTGTCCTTCGCCAGAGTTCTTGGGCCTTCAGCTGTGTGAGAGCAGGGGGTCTCCAGCAGCACAAGGGCTGGCTTGCAGGGTCTCCAGCAGCACGAGGCATGGAACAGGCTGGGTCCGGGGTCTCTGGCAGCATGAGGTGTAGAACAAGCTGGGTCCGTGGTGGTCCCCAGTAGTTGTAATTAACCTTAAACTTAATAAACTTCTAATGTTCTGAAAGCAAACTTATTTCAATCCCCAACAGCGAGGCGCGGATCAGGCAGGCTCCAGGGGTCTCCGGCAGCTCCGAAGGCAGCTTGGACGGGCTCTGGGAGACGATCCCATCCCCAGACCAGGGCACCCGAGTCTCGCGGGCGCTCAGGCCACAGAGGCAGCGGCGGCGGCGGCGGCGGCAGCGGCGGCATCGCGGCGCTGGGCGGCCCGCAGGAGGCTCTGCCGCAGCACCGGGTACTGCCGGTGGCAGCCGTCGAGGCCGAGCCGCAGGGCCTGCGCCCAGTCCTCGGGGGGGCCGCCCTGGCCGCCGCCCAGCACGGCCGACACCTGGTTGAGGGCGGGCAGCAGGGCGAGCGTGAGGCGGGCGGCGGCGCGGCGCTCCTCGGGCTCCGCGGGCTGCAGCATCCAGGCGGCGGCTGTGGCGGCGGGCGGGCGGCAGAGCGCGCAGCCCACGGCCAGGTCGTACATCTCCACGCCGGCGTCCGCCAGCGCCAGGGCGGCGGCGCTGACGGCGGCGGCCAGGGCCGAGCCGCCGTCCTGCAGCAGCAGCGCGCTGACGGCCAGGCGGGCCCGCGGGTACCGGCCCAGCCGCACCGCCGGCTCCAGCGCCTCCCGCAGCGCCGCCGCCGCCTCCCGCTCTGCCTCCCGCTCCGCCAGCCCGCCCGGCCGGCCCCGCGCCCCGCGGCCCGCGAAGGGCGCCCGGCGGAACTCGCACAGCAGCCGGCCCGGCCCGGGCTCGGCCGCCTCCCGCGGGCCCCAGGCGGCGCAGAGCACCTTGGTGCCGCTGCCCAGCTCCACGTAGGCCGAGCCCTGAGCCTGGCTCAGCAGCCCGGCCCGCGCGAACAGCGGCCGCAGGGAGCAGGGGTCCCGCGGCGCGGCCCCCGCGCCCTCCTCGTCCTCATCCTCGGCCGCGAGCGCTGCCCACAGAGAGGGCGGCTGCGACTCCTCCGGGCCGCACAGGCGGCGGTGATCCAGCGGCATGGTCGGCGGGACGGCGGCAGCGGGCGGGGACAGGGAGGAAGCGGGGACGGGCAGGAGGAGGGGACGGGCAGGAGGAGGGGACAGGCACAGGCTGTGACAGGCAGGAGGAGGATCCCATCTCATCCCCTCCCCTCCTATCTTGCTCCCCCAGTAGAGCAGGGCCGCAGCGAGCAGGGCAGGGAACCTTTATTGACAGGAAATCCGCGCAGGGGAAACAGTAGGAAAAGGGGGCCAGGGACCACCCCTCAGTCAGTTCTTCAGCTCCCCCAGCCGGAGCCTAGCAAAGTCCGTGGCCAGTTTCAAGGCTTCCTGCAGGCAGCCCACGTTCTTGCCTGTTGCCTGTGCAGAGATGTCCTTCCCACCACCTTTGCCGTCCATCAAGCCAGACACCTCCTGCACCCACTGGCTGGCCTTCAGGCCCTTATTTGCAGTCTCCTGGGCAAGAAAAGGGAGAAAAAAAAATCACTGATCAGCACTGAGGGACAAACAGCTGTCTCCCTGACCCATGCCTACCACCATGTTACGTTCTGACTCTTCTTCCCCATTTGCACAGCACAACCTTTTTCCCACACTTCTGTACACTGATGATACACCAAAGCATGAGGGTTGTGGCTCTGGCCAAAACCAAATCAATCCCGGCTGTGGAGTGTTGGATAGTTCCTGCCTGGAAGCTGCATCTCCCCCCAGGAAGGTTCAGGGAGAGTCAGATACAGAGTGTCTCAGCATTACCTGGGGTACCTGACACAGGCAGGTGATCCTGCCAGCTTCATTATCCACAGCAAAAAGCATGGCAGCAGTCTGGGGAGAGTTAGTCTTGAAGAGCTTCAGAGATTCATTCAGGGCCTGTAAGAGAAGAAAATTATTGCAGCACATCTTCCCTGCACTCACACCCAGCTCACCTCCAGCCCCCATGGCACCCACAGAGACCTCAGGGATCCGGACTTGCATTAAACCAGCCAGCAGCACCCTGCTGTGCTCCTCCTCCCCAGCACAAGCCATATGCACATCCCTTGCAGTGTAGAAGCCTTGGCAGGTGACACAAGCCCTGTCTGTGTCCCCTGAGGCAGGAAGGAGAAATCGCCTTTATTTCTTCACCTTCAGTTATCCAGAAAAAGGCAGAATTTGCCCCAGAGTGAACCTTAGCCTGAGTTACTGGCTGGAGGGAAAAAAGCTCCCCCCAGCAGGAGGGAGCAGTTGTTCCAAAGCGACTCAGGAGAACTCAAAAACAGCATGAAGAGGCTGCAAGGGTTAACAGACACAGCAGGCACACAGGAAGAACCAGGGAGATTGCCATGTATCCTGCTATTCCCAAGGAGAGCATCATCCCTTGTTCACAAGGACAGCATGATGCAGCACAGAGCTCCAGGAGCAGGTCCTCTGGCAAGCAAAGCAGCGCTGCTCTGGGTGGATTGGGAACACGCAGCCCCCCGGGCTGCCAGCACTGCCATCCCCTGGGATGCACCCTTCTGCCAGGGAGAACACTGAGATGGCACCCACTGCGAGCGTGGGTGTCATGGTGACAGGGAGGGCCACAGAGAGCGAGCAGGATCAGCTCCAAGACTCCCGGAGTGGAAATTTAAACAGGGCATTAAAACCAGAGCGCTCCAACCCCAGGCACGATCAGTCCCTGCTGCCTGGCACTTGCTGGGCTCAGCACTGTGGCACAGTGCACAAAAGGGAGCCGTTATTCCAACAGATATCGCTTGGAAAGAAACTTGTGTGTGGAGGAGGGAAGGAGCAGATTCAGGCCTGGCTGTGGAAGAACCTGAACCCAGCTGTGGCTGACAGTGCCCAAGAGCTGGGGGGCAGCTCTCTGCCCGGCCCCGTCCACACAGCCAGCCCAGGACAACGCTCCTGGAGCTGATCTTCAGGGGCCACAAACATCATGACTTCCACTGCCCCAGCAGTCCCTCCTCCTCCTCAGGGACAGCAGGTGTGAAGAAGGACAGCTCTGTAGCACTGCACTGCCTCCCCGAGGGAGCAGAGACCACCCAGCTGCTCCTCAAGGCAGAAGGAAGGTTGCTGAGGAGAAACCAGGCCTTCCCATACCTTTGCTGAGGCTCCATTTTCCATTTCCATAATGACCCATGGCTGATTAGGGTGACTCTCAATGACTTGCTTGGTCTTCTCTAGCACCTGAGGACAACAGTGGTCAGAAAACAAACACTAGAGCACCCACAATGTGTATGGACACAAGAACCACACAGGTAGAGCTTCCCCAGCAGGTACGGAGGCCCCCAAGGTGCCCAAACACACCCATAATAGCCCAGCCTGGAGCAGCCTCACACTGTGGAGCCAGGAGTAAAATATTTTGGCAGGTGGGTGTGTGGCCTGCAAGGCAGCAGCAATGTTATGTGTTAAATCCTCCTCCAGAAAACTCCAGTGGGATCCAGGAGAAGAAGCCTGCACCCGGGGCACCAGTAGGGTAGGAGCACCCCTACTTCCAAGACACATGCCATGCTTCAACGCAGGGAGCAGGCACGGAGGTAGCTGTGCTCTGGGAGGGAGCAGGAGAGTCTGGAAGACTGAACAGTGTGAGGGGTGTCCCCACAGCTCAGCTCCCTTCCACAATGGACACAAGCAGAGCTCCCAAGGGAGTGCCCTGCAGCCCTCCCACACTATCCTTTATTCCAGCCCAGGGCTCACCCGTTTCTGGATGTCGGCTTTACTTGCACGGTCCAGGTCATCCATAACTTTCTTCAGCGCTTTAACAGCCTCTCTCAGCTCATCTTTCTGCCACTGTGGGATAACAGCAGTGGCCAGAGTCTGCAAAAGAGCAGGTGGAGAGGGTTAAAGGTACCAGCGACCACAACCAGAAGATGCTGCACCTCATGAACCTCAGTGCCTCAACTGGCAGAGCCCAGTAAGCCCCGCTCCTCTCCCAGTGCCAACAACCCAGTCAGGACGTGCCAGCTACAGCACCCATGGGATGCAGGGCTGTCAGATAGGAGCAGGAAGGTGAATATGGGCTTCATTAATGCAACCCAGTGCTGGCAATCAAGGTCTCATTCACTCTGGGAAGGCAGAGCACTGCTACCATCCTCACCTCACCGAGATCTGCGATCTCCTTCTGCACATCCTTGTTGGGAGCTGTCTGGACCTTCACCTTGGCCTCCAGGGCTGACAGCAGTTTCCTGAGGCTGTCGACTTTCCTGAGGGCCTAGCAGAAAACAATCCAGGTTAAATCAGGCTGGGAGAAGGCTGGGCTCTTGACCACCCCAGGGTAAGAAGGGAATGCCCCAGCATGGAGCTTAGTAACTCCTCCAGAAGACAGAGAGCCAAAGCAACAAGCACTTGACTAGAACAAGGGTATGATGCTGGCAGACAGGCCCCATGACTCTTTCTTTGCCAGAAGCAAAAGAAAGATCCTCAAAAACAGAAACCATCTCCCCCATGAACCCCTTTCTCCCACTCTAGGAAGCACCAGCCCAAGCTAGCCCAGGATCTGCTAGCCCAGCAGCAGAGGACTGTGTTCTCAGACTTCACCACTCTCCTGCCAGCCTTGACAGCTGCTGAGAGCTCTACATCTGCAGCCCATTCTGCTAAGCAACCTGAGCTATTCCCAGAGCCCCTCTGCCCCCCAACACAACACTGAGAAGCCGGGACTTCTCCCCTTCTCTTTCCAACTGTAGCACAGCCGGGGCCTCCAGCCCAGCCTCTGCCAACAGCAGCACCCTTTTCCCTGAGTCCCTGCTATTCCCAAGGAGAGCATCATCCCTTGTTCATTCTCCCTCATGCTGATAGGGATATTGTACAAATTCAAACAAAAGGAACTCTGGCATAGGGTTAATACGTGGAATTTCACAGAGGATCTCTCCTGCCTCCCCTTACCTTCCGAGCTTCAGCCCCGGTGACTGCAACTATCCTCCGAATGCCTTTAGCAATGGCTTCTTCTGAAACAATCACAAAGGGGCCAGCGTGGCTGGAGTTCTGCAAGTGCCTTTGGAAAGAACCCAGACAGACCCACAAGAGACAGTTAGCAATCTACCTCTCATCTCAGCAGGAATCGGCACAGAAACAAGACAACCACTCTGCCAGGGAGATGCAGCAAGTGTGGGGACAGGCAGAAAACCCAACCAAGCTGCTAAAAGCAAAAGAGCAAGGAAAGGGTGGCAAGGGCTGTGCTCCCAGCACTGCCAGAGACCCTGTGTGGGGGCAGGGAAATACAGGCAGTTCCCTGCTTGCAAAGTCTTGATTTTAAACACGGATTGCCTGAGGAGTGGGAATGCAAAGGTACATCACCACCAACTCCAGCTCTGCCCTGGCTGTGCCCTGCATGTACCCACAGCACTCCCAGCAGAGACCGGGCTCCACAGGAACTCCTTTTCAGCCACCCCTGCTGCCTTCCCTGCCTCTCCAGATACTCACGTGCCTCCACAGAACTCAACTGAGGTGATGGAGCCCCCAGGACCAGAGGGGTCAGCCAGCAGCTCCTCCACAGGGATGCCAATCGAGACCACACGGACAGGATCGGGGTAGGTCTCGTCGAAAACTGCCCGCAGTCCTTGGATAGCTTTGGCTGCTGCGAGAGGACAGTCCTTGGCATACACAGTCTGCAGAGGACAGGAAAGGGATGTGGGTAAGAGCAGGTCCTATCAGCTCTGACTGAGGACTCACATTCCCTGGGAACTATGACTTTCTCTGAAAGATGCTAAAAGTGAAGCCTTGTGCCTCACCCAAGCTGGGGTTTGCTGAGCTGCAAGAATTCCAAAGGTATTGGCAGATGTCCCATGTTCAAAACTCCCAGTACCACCTGTTCAGACTCCCTGTGTGCTACTGTATGTGCAAACGGTTCCAAACACAGACTCCTGAGCAGAGCACAGGATTCTCCAGGGTCTGCTCTGACACAGGCCTGGCACCAGACAGAGCAACTCTCTCGCCCTTGGTGACACATCACTGGCTTGTCTGAGTGTATGTAAATCCAGCCAGGCCTGCAAAACTTCTCTGCCAAACTTCCTGACTTGTAGCTAATGTGAGACACTACAGCGGGCATGGGAACACGCCAACCCTAGAGAGGG